AGCTTTTTCGACTTCTAGGTTGTAATCTGTTTTCATCTGTATCTCACTGTGTTCCAATAAATTACAGTAAGTTAAGAAAATACACTTGAGTACTAAGTAGAGCGTTTTTTTTTGTTATGACGATGAGATGATCTTGTTCAAATGAAAGCTGTTTTATGAACAGAACAACATCCTCAATGAACAATAAAAAACCAATAAATACTAAGAACTATAGCATTATATTAATTGGTTGTCAATAAAGCACCTCATCTCATTGGGATGTCCTATTATTCGAAAGAAAATATCATCTTAAATGCGAGGCGGGTCGCAGATGAGCACTGTTGAGGAGTCCCACAACAGGACGAAACGGTCGTCCAGTGCTTCCAGGTTTTCCATGGTAGTCTCGCTTCAACTGACTCATGATTTTAAGTGTTTAAATGTTCTTGTTAGATAATATCTTCTTAATTGAAATTTCAAAATAGTAAAATTTAGAAACAATATTATTATATAATGACTATTTCAATGTAAATAAATAAACAGAACGACATTAAATAGTTTCACAACATATGGGCACCGAGTTGATATGAATCCAAGGTTTACAAATACATTCTTCGTCTTTAATATCCGAACACTAATGTGTAAAACTCTCATGGACTTTGAGATGGTGGAGAAGATTTGTAGCTCAGGAGGATAATTTGGGTGGAGTTTTGTTCTCTGGTCTGGATGGTTTAGTCGTTCTAACATGATGGGTAAAAGTGATGGTCAGTAATGTTAAACAAAAAGGAAAAAGCTTTACGTTTTTAAAAGAAATTACGGTTGATACATAGTAATGCGCAATGCTGACTAGTAGTTAAGAATGGTTGGAAGAAAGCTAGGTGCGACCAAACTAAAACGTGACATCAGTGTTTGAAGTCACTAACTTTTAGTCTTAGCCATTTTGGTAGATGCAAACTATTTGGTTGTGGTCCTCTTGACTATCGTGACCAATGGTTGCAGAGTGTGGGTGACATGGCTCAGAATCGATCACAATGATGTAGGTGTATACACTGTCTATCTTCCCTTAAACTATGAGATTAAAATTGCATTACATCTTTCTTTCTACCAACTAATAGTTTCTTTCTGTACTTTATATATTACACCATAGGGTTAACTACTTCTATGAATTCGATGTTCGTCTTGGTGTGCTAATGAGGTGTGGCAACTTGGACCGATGCATGTATGTGCCTGGTCTTACGTTGTAACTAACTGATTAACTGACATTGTAATTTATTTTCAAGACTAATTTACTTAACGTTTTTACAGAGAAAACCAGTGAATGATCAGTTTGAACTGATCATCAATTTATTCATAAAATTATTCCATATACAATCTAAATTGTTGTTAAGTTTTTTAACTGTTTGGTATAGTATTAATTAGACTCATAAAATGTATTGTGCTTTGCCAAAATATGGATAGAACTCAACTGGTAGTCTGAAGGTACTCATATACTCATAGCCTTTATCTAACCATATACTTATATTTGCAGGAACCCTAATACAAATGTAAATAATTAAGTATTGTATGACATTTAACTTGAAAGTTATTCCTTCTAGAACTTCCACAATTATATAGTGATCTTTGCAATTTTATAGTTTGCTATGATATTACCCTGCCTGAAAAAGAACCAATTCCATTGTCTTTGGCATATCTTATTCGCACAGCATTATAAATCCCATCATGTGACTTTTGTCTACATTGCAACCAAAGATCGACTGAGAACACCATGTAAGCCTAATAAAAAAGTATATTATGACAAAATTAAATAAGATGGGAAAATATAGATTACAAATCAGATTCATTCATGTATTATTCTATCTGTAATGTCAAGGGATCACTGTTGAATTCCATGTACACAACAATATTCCACATAATGTACACCTAATTCCATTAGCTAGTTCTCTTGTAAAATACCATTTAAATGATGATGCTTACATGTCTAATTACCTTTCAAATAAGATATTAAAATATCTCTTGTGATGTTCGAATTTATCACATTTGGTTTTCATTGAAGAAATGTTGTTGTTATGTATTAACCATCCATCTATCTATGTATTCACATTAGATTTTATCATCTTTGGATTTCATATTTACTTACTTATTAACACCTGTTACTGCCAATGGAGAATAAGCCACCAACCAGTATTCTCCAAACCATCCTGTCCAAGGCCTTCCTTACCCGTTTTGTCCAATTTTTGTTCATTCTTCTCATGTCTGTCTGTATCCATTTCTCAGCGTAGTGTGTTCTTTGGTCTTCCTCTCTTCCTTTGGCCTTGAGGATTCTAGGTGAGGACTTGCCTTCTGACGTAGTTGGGTGCTTTCCTCATTGTGTTTCCTATCCACTTCCAGTGCTTCTTCCAGGCTTCCTCCTTCAAAGGAATCTGGATTGTTCTCTTCAGTAGTAGGTTGTTGTTGATATTGTGTGACCAACAGATCCGAATTATTTTGTGTAGACAACTGTTAATAACCACTTGTATCTTCTGGATGATGACTTTCGTAGTTCTCTCAGTTTCCACCCCATACAGCAGGAATGTCTCGACATTTGTACTGAAACTTCTGGCTTTTGTGTTGGTTGACAGACAGTTGTTTGGAATTCCAGATGTTCTTCAATTGTAGATATGTTGCTCTTGCTTTTCCGATTCGCACCTTCACATCTGCATCAGATCCACCACCGTGTTCATCAATGATGCTGCCAGATATGTAAAGGTTTTTACATCTTCCAAATCTTCCCAGTCAAGTGTGATTGGATTGGTGCATGCAATGTTGTATCGGAGAATCTTGGTTTCCCATTGTGTATGTTGAGACCTACTGCTGCTGAGACTGCTGCTACACTGGTCGTCTTCTCTTGCATTTAATGTTGTGTGTACAATACAAGGGTCAGATCATCTGCAAAGTCTAGATCGTCCAGTTTCATTCTAGCTGTCCACTGTTTCTTATGCTCCCCCCTCAGATGTTGACGTCTTCATGATGCAGTTGATCACCGGGGGAAAGAGAAAGTGTGAGTAAGCAACCTTGTCTGGATTTCATGCTCTCCTTCTGAATGAAAATAAAAAAGTTAATTGCTTAAAATATAATGATTGATTCTATCAGCTGTTTTGACTTTTCTCATTGATGTTAACAGCTGCAATCGATTAGTTTTTTTCTTGGTTTGTATGAATCCTGTGTAAATTGTCTCAATATTTGAATAGTGTAATAAGAAGACGAAGTTTATCAGAACTATATGATGATATATTAGCACAATACATTTCTAACAATCTGACCACACATATATATCAAATGCCTCAATAAGAGTGGATGATAAACATCCATCATCCTCTATTGTCACACACACACATTTGAAACATGCCATACGATTGATCTTAACAGGGCTTTTGTGGTGTTGTACAAAAGTGCGTGTACTGATCTCCATTGAAGCCTTAGCCATACGAAAATTCAAACTCCCTATGTATATATTCAAAAACAGTTTGCTTTCACCTTAAACTTACCCTGGTAATATTAGCTTATTATCCAGAGTGATGAGATTTCAAATTGTTTTCACCTTATTTTCTTTATTATGCTTATCTCCTTTTACCCTCCATTTCTAGTCTAGTTGACCTTTTATTTTTATATATAAACGTTCTTAACAAGTATACAACGTGTGATCAGATTGTTTTGTAAATGTATTGCGCTAATATATCATCACATAATCTTTATCTTCTTATTACACTGTCTCAATATTGTCATTAAGTTACAAAAATCATTATCAACATCCTGAATTCCATTGCTCTCCATCATCAATATCTGTTTATAATGCTTCTATTATTTAATTGTTTATTAGCATTCTAGTAATTATTCAATTAATTATGAGTTAATAATGAATACATTTTCGGTTATATAGTCAATACTCTCTGTATTTGAATGACATGGTGGGGTCGTGGATACGCACTGCTGAGGAGTCCCACAATAGAACGAAACAGCCATCCAATGCTTCCAGGTTTTTCATCGTGTTCTAGTTTCAGTTGACTCATGATCTCAACTATTGACATATACATATTTTGGTGGAGTTTTGTTCTCTGAGCTGGATGGTTTGGTCGTGGAGCTTTCATCGTTCCTCTGAACGACATCATCAGCACAAACTTCAAATCATCCACCTGAGCTACAAATCTTCTCCACCATCTCGACATATACATATACTAGAATGTGGGTTTGTGAAGATTGTAATGATTTTAATAGATGATTTCATGAGTCAATATAAGTTGAACCACTATTGAAAACCTGAAAGTATTGAACGGCCGTTTTGTCCTAGTATGAGACTGGTCGGTAATATGCATCCTCGGTTCGAGCCTAGCATGCGAGATCGTGGTTATACCATATATACACATTACTTTTCCTTCAGGAACAAATATGAACATTAATACGTTTTTAATTGATGTCTATGTTATAACTTGTGCATCTGTGTGCACTGTATATTGTATAACGCAACGATACCGCCAATCAGAGAGCAGTGAATTATCGATTGAACCAGTGAGGCATAAACACGTGCGAGCAGCCTAGAGTCCTGATTAGCCCTGCTTCCCTGTCTAGCCCAGCCAGTTGAGTCCGGAACACCAATCTCAGCCTCTGCAATATGAATCATTTATTTCGAACGTACTCTGTTTATATACCAATCAAGCAGACCACAACGTGCCGTAGAATAGAAAATAACATTGTACAATATTTGGCCAAAAGTGGCTGTGAATGAGGGAGGTAGTGATTTATAGACAGGCCATAACTCAAGAATGCTAAATCGTATAGTAATATTCTATGGGTCAAATCAAAGCTTACAATAAGAGCAACATGAATATGAACAGTTTAGTTACATAACAATTATACGATAAAAATATACTCATAGCATTGGTCCATAAATAGATCCCAAGAATTATCATCCATTATTCTTACCGGGATATAACAGTCTACAACATTATTTTATATATCATATATATATTTCTTTATTTCTGTTAATAAAGGATTTAAGTTGTTCACAATCATCACTTCATGAAAATGAATGTGGAACAATTGCCATTAGGCCGAAAAAAGGAAGGACTCGGTAAGCTGATATTCATAATTGATTTATTTTTTAATTTTCATGATCCCTTATAATTTTTCTGATATTTATTTTTAACAATAAATTATAAGTAATAATAATGATATATATTCTCTTCACTTAGTGTTTACAACAAGTTGCTACTGTAATTAGAACATCTTGAAGAATTTCACCGAAATGGTGGAATTCCTCAGATGGCTGAAATGATAGTCTGTTAATGAAGCTGATCACATCTAAGTCTCAACATGATGAAGTTTGGAAAAAACAGGTTCATCAAGTATGGTCAATCAGTTGATAAGGTTATGAATCTTCATCGACTGAGATGGTTGGGCCACGTGTTGTGTATGCCTGAACACCGATTACCATGACGCACAATGCTGACTAATGTTGGGAATGGTTGGAAGAAAGTTAAGGGTGGCCGAACTAAAAAGTGTCATCAGTTCTTGAAGTCACTAACTTCTAGTCTTAGCCATGTTGGTAGATGCAGACTACTTGGTTGGGGTCCGCATGACTATCGTAACCGATTGTCACAGACTGGGAGTGGCATGGTTCAGAATCGACCACAATGGCGTAGGTGTATGCACTGTCTATCTTCCGTTTCTTTGATATATTACTACAATTAAATTAACTACTCGGATGAATTTGGTGTTCATCTTGTTGTGCTAATGAGGTGTGGTAACTTGGACCGCTGTATATATGTGCCTGGTCCTATGTTGCAACTGAATTACTGACTGATACATTGAGTTTGGTCTTTCATCAGAAAAATTGGTTTTTGATGAACTTTAATTTTAGTTTTGATATATATATATATATATATATATATATATATATATATATATATATATATATAAACATTTTCTTAAATTAAAACTTCTAAATTGATTGATTAATAATTTTACAGACTGGTTGTAGTTGAATAACCTAATATATTTTTAAATATCTAACCTTACTTACTTAGCATAAGCCGCCGATCAGCATTCTCCAACCCACTCTGTCTTCCGCCTTCCTTTCTAGTTCTATACAATTTTTGTTCATTCCTCTCATGTCTGTATCCATTTCTCGGCGTAATGTGTTCTTTGGTCTTCCTCTCCTCCTTTGGCCTTGAGGATTCCAAGTGAGGGCTTGCCTTGTGAGGCATTTGGGTGCTTTCCTCAATCTACTTCCTCATCTACTTCCAGCGCTTCTTCATGACTTCGTCTTCCACAGTAATCTGGTTTGTTCTCTCCCACAGTAGGTTGTTGTTGATATTGTCTGACCAACAGATCCAAAGTATTTTGTGTAGATAACTGTTAATAACCACTTGTATCTTCTGGATGATGGCTTTCGTAGTTTTACAAATTTTCAGCCCCATACATTAACACTATAGATATTTGTACTGAAAATTCGGACTTTGATGTTAAAAATACATAATCTAATTCTTAATAGTCACTTTCTTGTAGGAAAAAGTTTTGTTCATTCCGTTCAACCTAACAGATTAAATTTATAGAACGAGGTGAAGTGAACAAAATGAATAACAAGGAGTTAAATGTAACGGCATCGTTTACGATGATAAAAAAGGACTTAAAATCGAGAGTCGTTTAAAAAAAGAAACGAAATGATCTAAGAAATCAGTGTCGTTGAAGCTGATTTCGAGCTGTCTCACTTAAGGTCTTTTGCTCTTGCTATCGATTAAAATGTTTATTATACATCGAATATGTACACCTAAGTTCACTTAAATATCTAATAACTCAATGAGTTGAATACCTTTGTTTGTTTGGTCATTTCCGAGCTCCATTTCAACTTTCTTCTAGTTCAATAAATATTGCACCTCAGGAAAGTAACAGATGGGCGTGTTTTACTACATACCGCCTCAGTTGATGAAGATTCACAGTCTTATTAACTGGTTTGCAATTTTTAACAAGCATCCTATATGTAACCTCATCAGTACTCATTTGACAGTTCAACCCTTAAATAAACAATTCTTCATATATACATATGATTAATTATAAACAATCTAGTAATTTCAATAGTTGAAATCATGAGTCAATTGAAGCTAGAACACCGTGCAAAATCTGGAAGCACTGGACGGCCGTCTCGTCCTAGTACGGGACTCCTCAGCAGTGCGCATCCACGATCCTGCCCCCGCAAGAATCGAATCCAAGATCTATCACTCACGCGTGCGAGCGCCTAAGCATTAGACCGCTGAGGTCATTAGCGACTGAATTCAAGAGGCATTTCCTGGAGTTCTAGTGAGAAACAGTGACCAGTGGAGTTCAACCAGGTCTGTTGTGAGATATCGGCTCACTAAAGACAATGTTGTACGGTGGCGCAATTTCGTGGATTGGTTGAAGTTAGACACTAACACCGTTGGATGCCTGCTTAGTGGTGTAGTGGTTAAGCGCTCGCGCGCGAGACTAATAGATCGTGGGTTCGAATCTTGCGGGAGGCGGGATCGTGTGTGCACATTGAAACTACTGAAAATCTGAACAGAACCCTTCTAATCTAGTAATTTATTCCAGTGATAAGTTGTTGTTGTAATATTTATATGAACTTAATTTATAGCTTTTCTCCTTGTATTAGTTTACTATGCGCATCGAATATTATTATTGATTCGTCATTACTATCATTGTGTTCTTTTAGTAACTTAACTGATTATTCAAATTCTGGATCGAAAGAGTCAGTCAATAATATTACCAATAATAGTAATAGTAATAATACAGATCGCGATCGTACCTTGAAATATCCAAATGTAAGTGTTCCTTTATATTTAATCATTTCCTACGTATAACAAAATCATATGAAATCGTGTGTTTGATTTCCTCATATATCCTATCAGTTGTTTTAGTGATGTTTATGTCGGCAGCGCTATCCTCAATTGCACATTCAAAGGGAGTCGATGGAGCCATAACTGATAAAATATGTTTCCGTCTACCTTCCTGTCCTCTATTATGCTGCTTATGTAGTTTTTTTTTAGCTGTGATTGGGTTCTGTCTCCTATTTGCACTTGAATGAAAAGCTGCTCGACGGCTTTTATCACAGCCTGCTTTGATACGTCATGTGGCTTTTCTTCATCCGGTTTAGCTAGAAACTCTCATAAATTGTCCTCTACTTCATCCAGAAGCAGTGGGCTTTCGTGGCCAAATTTATCTCGTTGCAAATGAATACGGTTAACTAAAAGGTAGTTTTCAAGCCGAACAGACCAAAGTTGTGGGTCAGTAACCCTAATAGGCGAAATAATAAAATTATGGGGCTTGACGGACAGCGCTTGTGGAAAACTTATTGTGTCATTGTCTGAAGACATGTTTGTATACAATGAGTAGTACACAAATAAATAAACTTATATATAAAGGAAGGGAATTAGATAGACAGTAATAATGTTAGTAACAAATGATAAAATGGTATAACACGGAACAGACTTGCTAAACTTCATTAGTATAATAATTGTATGTATGTCGTTACTTGTGGTTGTTAATATTGTTAAAATATGTTCGACAATGTTTATGAAATAATTATCGTGTAACGAATGTACGATAATAATAATAAGCCAGTTATAATTCGTATCGAGATGAATTAGGTTGATTTTTGTATTTCGATAGAATCCTAGAAAGCTATGTTGCGTTCTGTGACGATCGGTATTCGATATAATTCTTAAAATTCGTATACTGTCCGTTTTGATAACCGTTACTGGATAACACCCAACGATGTGTAAATCAGAAAACGAATACAGAGCGTTGATTACGTTTATTATCGCACTACACACGAAGCAAGAGTGATACGTGAGTGCCGAAGAGCAAGCAAGCGAGTGAGTCTATAAATAGGATTAAAATGTACATATATGTAGATAGGAAAATGAATACATCATCGAACCATTTAAGCGACTAACACTAAAGCTAGCAGAATGAATATGTATGTAGATGGTAAGCAATGCTCAAGCATACATGTTTATACAAGCGCAACAATAATGAAATTACATTGGTATAGATAAGATTTTGTTGCTGTGTGAATGACTCTGTCTGTTAAATAAGTTAATAAAAGGGCTTAACCAAATTATATATATGTATATCATTTATGATGTGAGTATCTACCCTTATACATCAAACATGAAGTTTCTGCATTTGAACTCCCTGTGAAGCATTGAACCCATCATTATTAGTGAAACCTAGATCCTTGGACCCTTGTAAATTTTCCACTGACCATTTGAGAAGTATGTATTCTGTTAAAATCAGTTCATAGAGCTGATCAATATAATTTGAGTAATATTATTTAAAGGCTAGTATGTGTAGGATTTAAATTATATTCGTGCAGTATACTTAATTTTTTGTAAGCAATGATAGATAGTGGCGAGCAGTGGTATCCCGGAGGCGCTTTTCGTCCTATTTAGGACTCGTCAGCCGGATGTACCAGCATCTCAGAGTTGATGCTCACTCTGGGACTCGAACCCAGTAACATTCGCTTCAAACGCCATCGCGTTATCCAATCAGCTACTGAGTCCTGATAACCACTTGATTGTGCAATGGGGTGAATTTAAATTCACTTGGTATTGTTTGGCTTGTATCTTCCCATTAAGGTTTAAGACTGCAATTGATCAGGACGAAACGCGCGTCCTGGATTCCACTGCTAGCCACTATCCATCATCGCCTACAAAAAGCTTGTGAATTAAGGTAATATCGAGGCATGCGCATAGTATGCATATACGCCAGTAACAAACTGATCATTTGCAGTCTTAAACCTCAATGGGAAGATACAAGCCAAACAATACCAAGTGTAAGTATACTTAATTGTTTCTAGTGATGACTGATTATCACATGAAACCGAGAAGATTGCATGTGTTTATTTCTATCTTTTATTTCAGTTACGGTTATGAGTTATCATTAGCGATTATTGTTAGAACCCGGTCATTACAAAAATCATTGGATTCATTGTAATTTGATTATCGACTTTATTAATTTCTAAAAACCCACTATGCTAATGATAATCATTTATTTATTAGTAACCAATTTTGAGAGTTGATTTTTAGAGTTCTAGTGAGAAGACACGACCATTCAAATTCAACCATTTCTGGAGTGAAAGAGTTATCCATCAATCACACTGGAAAATAGTTACTAAATATCACGAATTGACTGAAGTCGGACATATAAAACATCGGATAAGGGACTCAATCATTTAAAAGTTAAATGTCAACCATGAAGCCTAACGTACTTGGGTTCAAACCCTATCGCGGCACAGTGACCTTGTACTATTGCAGACCTTCACAATAAGATGATATAGCTTTCTAGTACTTCCTAGTCTTTAATTGTTGTCTAGTTAAGACCGCTTTGTGGTGTGAACTATAAGATTTCACATGAACACAAAAATTATAGGATAGCATGAGCTTCCTCGAGGTTTCATGCAATACATCGTTGATAATTTGGAAATAATTAAAGAAATCAGGCATCGAATTTCCAACTAAACTACTTTCTTGATATTGTATCATACATTTTAAAATCATATTTTCATCCAACATTCGAAAACATACTATCACCAGACTTCTGACTATGACCATGATACACTGTTTAAGTCTCCGTATTCAATAGTATAATAAACACTGAATGTTCCATATAATGAACCATATAATCAAAACCTACTTTTGTTTTCGTTGCATCGGACCATAATACAACTTACATATTTTGTTTTATATTGACCAATGGGAATTTTCTTTATGATTAATAATCAAAAAGTGGTAATTCTTCTACAATCAAGTTGCTATGCACATAGATTTAATATTTAGAACCAAATATTTGAAAATTTATCTCAGTTCTAATTTTTAACTGTTTAATAGCGGGGATCATTTTTGGAAAATATATCAAAACCAAAAGAATGGAAATCTGTACCACAGGTATTACTTGTGTTTTGAAAGGATTCGAGTTTACATGTGTACATGAGCTGTTGAAATGCTCTTCAGCGTGTATGTATATATATATATGTGTGTGTGTGAGTGTGTGTATTGGTGTGTGTGACGAATTCATCTGCTTAACATAGAATTGAATCTAGTGTTAACTATCAATATATATATATATATATTACTTATAAGAAATTTTCACCTCATGTTAACTTATAAAAAAATAATATTCGGTGTAATTCATAATATTTCCTAACTGATCACTTTCAATTTATACTAAATATATACTGTTTATGTATCAATGATGACCGAATGTCTACTTATGGCAATAATCTACTGATGTATGTTTTTATTTTATATACTTATTTTGATAGTAACTAACATCATATGGTTTGGTGATTAATTTTAATACAGTTTATATCAATTAAGTGACAATATTGCCATTATTATCAGAAAGGGTTTTGTGGAGATTTTAATAGTTTCAATAGTTGAAATCATGAGTCAATTGATGCTAGACCACCATGGAAAATCTGGAAGCACTGGATGGCCGTTTCGTCCTAGTATGGGACTCTTCATCAGTATGCACCCACGATCTATCAGTCTCGCGCGCGATCCGCTTAACCATTATACCACTGAGCCGACATCCATCGGTGTTAGTGTCTAACTCCAACCAATCCACAAAATTGCGCCACCGTACACCATTGTCTTTAGAAAGCCAATATCTCACAACAGACCTGGTTGAACTCCACTGATCACTGTTTCTCACCAGAACATCAGGAAATGCCCCTTGAAGTCAGTCACTAGTGAGCTCAGTGGTCTAATGGTTAGGCGTTCGCGCGCGAAACTAATAGGTCTTGGGTTCGAATCTCACGAGGGCAGAATTGTGGACGCGCACTGTTGGGGAGTCCCACAGTAGAACGAAACGGCCGTCCAGTGCTTCCAGATTTTCCATGGTGTTCTAGCTACTATTGACTCATGATTTCAACTATTGAAAATATTACCATTAGTCTAAATTATTCAATTTCATCTTATTTAATATCGACATCAATAACTGTGGCAGTTAGTGACATGAATACACTTCCTATTTAAAATATCAGTTTCCTTAATATCGTAGAGAATGACATTCTGACAATTGCCAACTACAAAGAAATATTAGATCAAGCATGATTTATTGTACTATGTTGATATGTTTATCTGGATTATGAACGGATTATAGACTATTCTAGATATTCAATGTTTGGTATATTTAGAATTCAGTATAGTTATTTTTTATTCAAGATAGAAACTCATGTCGAACATATAATTCTCACTTAGACATTGATAACACAAAGTTCAACAAAAGAATCTCTTTCTGATGAATTTGTTATCAAGCCGTCAAATTGTATATACATATATATGAAATTTTGGCCAAGTAAGGTTCGCGTTCCTACAATTGAACAACATATGGAAATCAAAACAACTGTCAACAAATATCAAAGTCAGAATCTTTAATACGAACGTCAAGACAGTCCTACTATACGGAGCTGAACGTGGAGAACTACTGCAATCATTATCAAAAATGTGCAAGTATTTATAAACAATTGACTAGGCAAGATACTCAACATCCATTGGCTGGATAACATCAGCAACAGCCTTCTATAGGAAAAGACGTTAGAAGTGGATATGACACACATTGTGAAAATCATCAAGCTGCATCACGAGGCAAGTGTTAACTTGGAATCCTGAAGGGAAATGGAAAAGAGGAAGGTCAAAGAACACACTGTGTCGAGAATGGGAAGCAGATATGAATAGGATGAATAGCAACTGGAAAGAACTGGAAAGGATTGTCCAGGACAGAGTTGAATGGAGAATAATGGTGAGCTGCCTATGCTCTTCCATGAGAGGTGACAGGCGTAAGTAAGTAATATATGAAATTTTAAGTACTAATTCTGTGAGAACATATGAACAATGGATTAACGTGATGATGTGACAAAAAGATTATAATACTAGATTATATAGTGTGAAATTCTTTATATTCAACTCCTCAAAACGATATAAGCTCTTACTATACATCGAACGAAGCTTGAAGTATATTTATAATGTGACCTTAAAATATTGTTATTATTATGATAACTTTATTTTCATCTCATTGATTTCACACTTGTGAATATACCCATCTCTTTATAATTATTTGTCATATTACCATTATTCTATTCATAAAGGAATTGACGGAAGGGCACCACTAGTAGTGAAGACCGCTGTTTAATTCGACACAACACAGGAAAACTCACTAGGCCCGGACACTGTGAGGATTGACAGATTGATAGCTCATTCTTGATTCGGTAGGTGGTGGTGCATGGCCGTTCCTAGTTTGTGGAGCGATTTGTCGGGTTAATTCCTATAACGAACGAGACTTTAACCTGATAAATAATAGACTGGTCCTCTGTCCTCGCTTAGAGCGCGGCTTCTATTGCTTCTTTATGGGGTAGTGTGTTCGCCGCACAATTAAGTCGCAAGAAATCGAGCAATAACAGGTCTGTGATGCTCTTAGACGTCCGGGGCCACATATGCGCTACAATGACGGTGCCAATGAGTCTGGAAACCTGGCCCGAAGATGTTGGCCAAACTGTTTCATCACCATCGTGACTGGGCTCATGGCCCGCAATTATTCCCCGTGAACGAGGAATTCCTGGTCAGTGCAAGTCATAAGCTTGCACTGATTACGTCCCTGCCCTTTGTACACAACGCCCGTCGTTTCTACCGATTAGATGGTTCAGTGAGATCATTGGATTGGTGTCGTTGTAGTAGCTTTGCCGCTCGACTGATACTGGGAAGATGACCTAGTTTGACTATTTAAAGGAAGTAAAAGTCGTAATAAGGTTTCCGTAGGTGAACCTGCGGAGTGATCATTATCATGACCTAAAATTATGTAATGAAGCATGCACGTGGCTTCATGCTGAACTGCATTTACCCTGGCTTAATGGCATTTACCCTAGACTTCAGCGGTTATTCCTAATCGTTACTGATATCATTTCATCTTGTTTAAACCTTTCATCACCTTTAATTATTGTAACAAAACCATTTTAATTATCTTACTCCATTCATACTACAATTCATTATTATCTTATTAACTTTACAAGGCTTTTTATTTGCATACATTCAACTATTTATTATTATTATTATTATTATTATTATTATTATTATTATTATTATTATTCATATAATGTAATCTAGTATTATAATCTTTCTATTACATCATCATGTTTATTCATTGTTCAAATGTCTTCATAAATACATTTGATTGTGGTTAAGATCATGAGTCAGTTGAAGCCAGACCACCATGGAAAACCTGGAGGCATTAGACGGCTGTTTCGTCCTATCATGGGACTCCTCAACAATGCGCATCCACGACCTCGCCCCCTGCGAGATTCGAACCCAAGACCTACTGGTTTTGCGCGCGAGCACTTAACCACTAGACCACTGAGACGGCATCCAACCGTGTTAATGTCTAAATTCAACTAATCCATGAAATTGAGTGACATATTCACCATTGTCTTCAGTGAGTTACTCTCTCACAACAGACCTGGTCTAACTCCACTGGTCACTACTTCTCACTAGAACAATTTGCTAATAGATTCGTTGAAAAGATATCCCGTCGTTGAACTTCGTGTTTGTTTGTTTATTTTTTAAGTCGAACATCTTTATTGTTTTGATATTTCGTAAGTGTTTATCGTAATCTAATTCTTTCTAGGATGTTTTTATACTGAATACATGATCATCAACCATATATATATCTGATAAATTGGTAAACAAAATGAACTTTATGAATAAACTAGATTTAAATTGTTAAGATGAAAAATTTGTTGATATTGTTAGAACCACTGATATATCTATCACTTCTTGGTTTTCAAGAGCATCCCAACTGAGATCAATCTTCAACTAGTACAATATACAAATTATTCTCCATTAAACACCTATTCAAACAATTAACTAAAATAACTTATGGTGGCATTGAATACAAATAAAGAGAACTGAGAAAGGAAAAGTTTCTTTTCAACGAAATCATTTACTTGAGCTGTTTATTCGTATTTATAGTTATATAGTTATTATTATATAACCTCTTAACTATTATTTATTTATTTAATTGAACACATAAATATGGGTACAAAGAGGTAAGGAATACATATGCGCCACACAAGTCACTTGATTTGTGTGTGAACTGTGATACTGCCCAGATGCTCAGACCAAAGGAGGTGGATTTCTTAGGGGATCAAACCCGAATCCTTTGACTTAAAGATCTAATTCACAAGGCAGTGGAGCAACGTCATGAGATGTAATCCCATGTTAGCTGGTAACCAACGATAGGTTCATACGCCATTTGTTCCTTCAGGATATTGGAATTGATGTTAACCATTGTTTTGGAATGAGGGTTTTCCAACTCCGCTAGGTGGAGTCTCCGCGTCCATCAACCTGGGAATCCTTAGATGATGAAATCTGATTAATGAATTATTTATTATTTGTAATACGTATAGAAAGATTCTAGTTTTGGAAGTTATACTATTTCTTGTGAGACTGTTTTTGTATGTTATTAGCATTGTTTTAATGTGCATAGTTAGTTATTCGCATAGAAATTATAAATTGAGCTAATCACCTGCTACATTGTTTTTTCGTTAACACTACTGATCTAATTAACGTTGAATTTGTTTTAGTCTTATTATTAACAATATTGAATATATCATATACAGTATGGGATTATTGAGATTGCTGAATTTCATTGAAATCCTGAAATGATCTAATTTAGATCGTGTATGAGACATTGTTGGATGTCAACTTAGTAGCCTAGATACTAGAGTTTCGTGTACAAGACTAAAGGTTCTGAGAGTGATTCTCGGGTATACAGTCGTGGATTTGCAATGCCAAGAGCCCAGTACTTGGACGAAACGGCGGTTCTAGGTTTTCAGTAATGATCTAACTTAGATTTGTTCATGATTCCAATTAATAAATATATTTTTACTGGAAAAACTATTTAAGCAGTAACATAAACACTTTTCAATAAAAGAAAATGAACACGTTTTATTGATCTCATCTACGTTATCAACACATCTTCAGTTTTATAAGTTTTAGACTTTAGTTATCTTCCGATAGTTTATAAAGAAAAAACGGGACTCGATCTTAGTTGCATAAAGTCACTCATTACTTATCTCTCTCTCTTCTTTGCTTTGCCTTTCCTAAAATATTAAACTTAGTATCATTTCATAAATTCTATTCGTTTATTTGACTTATTATCATTAGCTCATCAGGGTAACCTTTTATCTTGTGTCTGTTTCTGTCTCTGTACAAATGTAATGTATAACAATCTGAAGAGGTATGTATTTGTGTCAGAACATACTCTGTTTATATTTGTATTATGTATCATTCTTTATTATTCATATCAACACGGTAATAAAATAAAATCATAATCATAGTTCACATTATGATCAATTACACTCTCACCAAAACTTCAACAATTCTGAAGGCACAAGAACTTTAAAAAGCTCATTTCAGCTTCACCTAACGATGATCTATTGAAGAATAAATGGATATTTTTGAAAACATCTTATTTAATTTTTTTTCTGGTTAGCGTTTTTTAGTGAGTTAGTTTTCTACAGGATGAGGTCAATAACTTCATGCCCTACCCTCTTCTACCCGTGCTTGGGACTAGCAGTAGCCACAGAAGGGCTCCAGGCGGAGTGTTTTTGAAAACACCTGAAATACTTGGATCTCAGCGGAAAATTTTTAAAATAGGATTTTTTTTAAAAAAGTACTATTTTGATTGATTTTTCTTGAATGTTTTATAGAGATTTAGTAAATTTGTTTGATTGTCTATTTATCTTTAGTTTAATTGTCAACAACATTAATAGTGGCTTCGTTATTGAGTTAAAACAGTTAAATACTATTGTCTAAGTTACAATTTATTAGGTGTTCAACCAGGCAACTCTTTTCCTTTTTTAAATCATCTAGCTGTGAGTGGATGTTATATCCTTACTTACTTACGCCTGTTACCTCTCATGAAAGAGTTTAGGCCGCCCACCGACATTCTCCATCCATCTCTGTCCTAAGCAATCCTTCCCAGCAGCTATTCATTCTTTTCATGTTTGCTTCCGATTCTCGGTGTAATGTGTTTTTTGGCCTTCCACTTTCACTTTTCTCTTCAGGATTCCAAGTTAGGGCATACATCGTGATGCAGTTTAGAGATTTCCATAATGTTTGTCCTATCGACTTCCATCTTCTTTTTCTAATTTTCTCATCAACTGTTGTATCCTAGTTTGATTAAAGATTCTCCTAAAGTAACTGATTGTTTGGAGAAAACTCCATCTGTGCTAATCTGCTCTACAGTTTATTGATACATTTTAATAACTCCAATTAAATGGTGGGTTTACAATGCTCAGGATTTTCAAACTAGAATGCAATAGACAAATATAGATAGTGGCTAGCAGTGGAATCCAGGACGTGCGTTTCATACTGGATGTAACTGCATTCCGAAGTTGATGTTCACTCTGTGATTCGAAGCTAGGATTCAGTATCTAAGTGGATTACGCCATGTCGTTTGAAGTGAACGGTACTTGGTTCAAGTTTCAGAATGAACATCAACTCTGAAATGCAGATACATCCAGCTGACGAGTCCGAAACAGCACAAAACGCGCATCCTTGATTCTACTGCTAGCCACTATCTATCTCTGCTTATAATGCTTGTGAATTAAGGCAACATCAAGGCAATGAGCACAGTATGCACGTATGCCAATAAGAAACTGATTCATTGCAGTCCTAAACATCAATGAGAAGATTCAAGTAAACAATATCAAGTGAATTTAGAATGAAATAGTTTTCCATTTCTCCTTCATTAAGATTATTACATAATATAAAATAACAAATGTAACAATCTTCACAAACCTTTTACACTGATGACAACATAGTTGTTTAAATCTTAATACCATAAATACTAAGTAAAGAGTTAAAAAAAAAGCAAGATTAGACAACAATAATTTACTTGTAAACTAATCTATCATACAAAGTCTATGTATATTGACACTATGTATACTATGTACAACTCAACATATAGATCAATAAATTAGACTTTTTACGTACATTCATGATTTAGTATTCTACTATTTCAGCATAATATTACGTAATGATATTTCTTGTTAACTTTTCACCTGATCGATAAACTGAATTTGTCAGTAGGGTGTTATGGGGATTGTTGAATTTCATTGAAATCCATTGTCTTCAGTGAGTAAGTGCCTTTCAATTGACACGGTTCAGCCCCAATGGTCGCGGCTTCTCACTAGAATTCCGGAGATCTCCTCTCCAATCTAGTTACTAATGACCACATGACAAATTGTCATTAAGGAGCTGTGGAAATTGTTGATGGCCGTACGATTTCGTGGATTGATTGAATTTCAACGTTAAACCATTGAATGCTGACCCAGCGGTCTAGAGGTTAAGCGTTCGCGCGCGGAACCGAATGTCCTCTATTTGATTTTAGATAGTGTGATCGTGGAAGCACACTGTTGAGACGTTTCATATATCGAAGCAATCCATACAGGATGCCCATATACCAAACAATCTGATCAAATACTAGTTAAAATATCTAACAAAGAGATAATGAAAGTCATTTCAAATTATTAAATTTTGGTTTACATAAACTTTCCTACCATCTTAATTCATTCAAATTTTATCGTCACTTCATTGTACAAATCAGTGGCTATCTTGGAGGCGCCAAATACATATGCGCCACACAAATCTCATTCCATATGTGTGAGGGCTGTGATACTGCCCGGGTGCCCAAACCGAAGCAGGTGGTTTTCTTAGGGGGCCACTCCCCGAGTCTTCAACCTGAAGGTCTGACCCACAAGGCAGTGGAGCATCGTAAGGAGATGCAGTCCCATGGAAGTCGGTGACCAACAATTGGTTCATACGCCATTTGTTCCTGCAGGATACTGGAGCCCACGTGCACCATCAGTTAGGAATCCGATTAAAGCGCTAGACATTCGCTTTTCGTCCTCTCATTTTCGTAAACAACAGTAGTGCCACGAGAAGGCAGTGAGTAGGATTTCCCTGGCAGAGGCTATATACGCGTGACCGTGTGAGAGCATTTCGAGAGGGAGAGCGGACTCTCCCTACTCTCGGCCATACCAGGGCATTTGGGGTTATCTTGAGTAAGTAGCTAAAACAATAACATACCGAAGTTCAAAGCAAACAGTAATGGGTTTGAGCTCCAGCGTAAACATCAACTCTGGTATACAGGTACATCCAAGTGACGAGGCCTGAGTAAGACGAAACACACGTCCTAGATTCTACTGCTTACTACTAACTATCTCTACAATAGGATGATTCAAGTTATTTTCTATCATCTTAACTAACTTGACTAACATTCTAATAACCCATAACTGATTGACCATAAAATTATTATATTTAAACTTTAATATTTCAGCCAAAAGTTTGTTCTGAGATTATAAAAGTATCTTTAAATAATCAAATTAATTGTTGTGCTACATGATATTCTACTTATGAATGTGATGTTTATTTATAGTTGGTGTTCAAATCAATAGTTTAATGTTCAATTGAAGTAAATGTATAATCACTCTTATTGTCATGCACCGATGAGATTTTAATATAAAAAAATAAGATGTAACGTTGTATCTAACCCTGACATAACTATTAATGCACTTGGTGTTGTTTGCTTGTATCTTCCTATTGTTGTTTAGGACTTCAATTGATCAGTCTCTTGTTAGTATATGTGTATCCTGTGCGGATCGCTTTAAGTCACAAGCTTTTTAAGCAGAGATGGATGTACATATACTAGTCTTAAACATCAATGGGAAGATAAAAGTAAAAACGAAACCAATTGAATTCAAACTTCACCCCATTTCATAAAAAAACTGGCTATCAGGATTCTGTAGCTAAGTAGATAACGTGATGATGTTTGAAGCGAACGATACTGAGTTCAAGTCCCAAAGTGTACATCAACTGCGGAATGCTGGTACATACAACTGACAAGTTCCAGATAGGACGAAACGAGCATGCTGGATTCCATTGATAGCCAGAATCTATATTTGCTTAATTAATGTATTATTTTACAGAGATTCACTTACAATAAATAGTAATTTCAATCTTGATAATTAAACAATTATCTCATTAAATAAACATTTGAATTTTCATTGATTTATATTGTCTTGTTTTTTTTCTTCTTTGTTTTCCTCTTCGTTACTATTATTGTTATGATTTAGTTAGCAAATCTATTTTTAATTGGTTCACCATTAGCCTTATTTATATCAGTTAATGATTTATGTCCACCAACATATATAAATCCATCAACTCATTCATTACAATTAACTAATTCTACGGATGATGAACGAGATTCAACAAGTAATTCACATTCAATACAAAATAGTATTACATCGATTACAACATCAACATCTAAACATACAGGTATTGATTTAGATGAAATTGATCCTGAAGCATTATTTTCATATTTTGCATGTCGAAGAGTATTCAATATATTTCATTCATATGATCCAGTGGTAAGTGTATATACATATATATATGTAACATTTAATTCATGGTTATGTTATTACTATTTGTAATGTAACACAAGTTTATCTGTGTATTATTCATCATGGATTAAATTTACATGGACCATTACTGAAAATCATGAAGCATTTGATAACTGTTCCATCCTGGAATATGAAACTACTGAACATTAAGCAGTTAATGTCAGTTTTATAGTAAACCCTTTTTAATTATTATCATCGGTCAGTGCAACCCAGTATCTTGTTATGATAAGAATCATTTTGAAAATGATAAAATTCTCGAATTGAACACTATCTCAAACAGATGAACACTTGTTCGAACTACTTTTGTAGATGGAAAATGTATCTTTGAATAGATTGGCAACTTGGTTTTAAGACTTTTACATGTTATAAAAGGAAAAAACATTTCTATTCTATAAACTTTCTTATCATTTTCTGTAGTCGGTCTATCATTCAAAAGTGTGTTAAGGATACAAATCGATATGGATCTATAAATCCGATTGTTCTTTTGTGGATAGGTTACATAGGATGTACACTTCCAAAATTCATCTTACGTTATAACTTGAAGTGACTTTTAACATAAGAACGCAAAACAATAAACAGTTTAATTCTGGAACATCTCATTAATTCAAGTTATCCTATTTCATTAGAATTGTCTTTCGAAATAATCTACACAGCCAAACAATTAGAGTCAATAAGAGTACATATTTAGTTATCGTACACATCAAAAGCTTCAGCAAATCATTGGTTTAATTTTTAACACTGTATGTAAAAGCGTCATGTGTAATACCTCATTTATATCATGGGACTAACGTCTGTTCTAATCTATCTTACTCAGCAATCAACTGTTATTACCGTTTTTTTAGTTTTTTTTTGTGTGTTTCAATATTACTTAACTATTATTGTCTCCATGCTTTTCATTTCTTCTTTATACTTCTTTAATATAGAAAGTTCTCTCATACTTTTTTAACCTATAAACTATTTTCATTCTATCAGTTATATTTAATCTCTAAATCAATTACACTCAAACTTCCTATGATATATCAGATACTCAAATACTTCATTATATAGTTCACTTTGTTTTTTCCTTCAATAAACTACTATATCAGAAGGGATTTTTGTGAAATTATAGTAATTCCAATCGTTGAAGTTAAACATTAACACCGTTGGATACCAGTTCAGTAGTTTAGTGTTTAAGCGCTCGTGCTCAAGACTGACAGGTTCTAGGTTCGAGTCTTACGAGACGTGATCGTGGATACGCACTGCTGAGGAGTCCCACAGTAGGACAAAACGGTCATCCAGTGCTTTCAGGTTTTCCATAGTGGCCTAGCTTCAACTGACTCATGATCTCAACTATTGAAATTACTATTTTCTTTGTTAAATAATTACCAGTAAGAGTGTATAGTTCCACTGAATGATATCTCATTCACGGAAGCATATTTAGCTCTTCTTTGAATATGTAATACTTCTTCTTCTTCTTCTTGCTCTTCTTATATCTATTGAACGTTTAATTTTATATACTTTATTATTGATCATTTAAAGTACAGACTATTTCAGCGTTTGCTGATATATATAGATCCCCTTTTAAATCACTAAGGTCAAATGACATGTTTCTTAATAAAAATGTATTACATTGTTAAATTATATTTCAATTTATTAATTAGAAATTAAGGACAATTTTTGATATATTTGAAATCAAAATAACAGAGTTTATATAAGAGTTTGTTTAAAATAACTAAAGATGAATTGTCATTTCATCAGTCAGTCAGGTACAACGTAGGACCAGACACATATATGCATCGGTTCAAGTTGCCACACCTCATTAACACAACAGGATGAACAACAAATTCATCCAAGCAGTTAATTTAATGGTAGTAACATATAAAAGAAAGAAAGGCGTAAAGCACTTTTTATCTTACGGTTTAAGGGATGACAAAGAGTGTATACACCTATGCCATTGTGGTCGATTTCGAGCCGTCATTCAGAGTTTCCAACCACTGATTACGATAGTCATGTGGACCACAATCAAGTAGCCTGCATCTACCAACATGGCTAAGACTAGAAGTTAGTGACTTCAAGGACTGATGTCACGTGTTAGTTTGGCCACCCCTAACTTTCTTCCAACCATTCCCAACACCAGTCAGTATTGTGAGTCGTGGTAATTGGCGTTCAGGCATATATAACACGTGGACTAACCATCTCAGTTGATGAAGATTTAAAACCTCATCAACTGATTTAACATAATATCCTAATACCGTGCGTCTAACCTCACTATCTCTTAACCGGTGATCCTGGCGGATGTGTGCAATATTTCTACGACATCTGTGGTCAAATAATGTAACAGCAAAAGTATATCCGTTTCTTAGTTACATCCAAATATTTAGTTTTTGAACTGTTTTCAATACCATTGATATTAATATTTTGAATTCTTCAGTTTTAGAAACGATCGGCTTTTATTCCAAAGCATATATTGTTTATGACTCACGTATCCACTAACAACAGTATACCAACAAGAACCAGTGAATCTACTAACGGGAATCATTTGGTACTTGCAGCACACATTATTTGAGTTGAAACTTCATAGAGTGTTAAAATTATTCAATGATATTAAAATTTGTCAAGAATGCTAGTTTTTGTTAGTGGCAGTCGACTGATGACTGTGATCACGGATGAAGTGAGGAAACATTAATAATAACATATATATTACGTGATAGGGAACTGCATTTCATGTTTGTGGGGTTGAAATACTCTTCATTAAGTGGTGGATAATGATATCTCCATATAAATGGTTAGGATCAACTTGATATTTATCGTTCTACATCCCTTTGACTTTGCAGATGACCTAGCCCTCCTATCGCATGCACACGAACAAATGCAGATGAAGACAACCAGTGTAGCAGCAGCCTCTGCATCAGTAGGCCTCAATATACACAAGGGCAAAACCAAGATCCTCAAATACAACAAGCAGAATAGCAATGCGATCACTCTTGATGGCGAAACTTTGGAAGATATCGAATCCTTCACATACCTGGGAATCATCATCGATGAAAAAGGAGGATCTGATACAGAGTTAAACGTGAGGATCAGCAAAGCAAGGGCCGCATTCCTCCTATTATACGGAGCTGAATGTGGGGAACTACTGCAAACATCATCAAGAAGGTACAAGTATTTATAAATGGTTGTCTACACAAGATACTCAACATTCATTGACTGGACACCATCAGCAACAGTCTACTGTGAGAGAGAACATAACTGCGTTCAGCTGAAGAGGAAATTAGGAAAAAACGATGGAAATGGACAGTACATACATTACGCAAATAATCAAACTGCATCAAGGGACAAGCCCTAACTTAGAAAGCCGAAGAAAAACATGAAAGAGGAAGTCCAAAGAACACATTACGTCGGGAAATAGAAGCAGATATGAAAAGAATGAATAACAATTTCAAAGACCTGGAAAGGATTGCCCAGGACAGGATTAGATGGAGAATGTTGATGGGCAGCCTATTCTCCTCCGCAAGGAGTAACAGGCTTCAATAATAATAACATCCCTTAATGTCACTCATCAACTCTTCACAGCACTTGACCCTGTCCCATCATATTCTTCAAGTATTAAATGCATCTTAATTTTTTTTGGATAATGACTTATCTACTATTAACTGATTATTAAAATATCAATGGATCAATTTATGTTTAGTGTATTAGACCAACTCATATTGTGTTTATCACAAGTTATATCAAATAACAGTTTGTTTTTGCCTAAATATGTCATTAATGCATAAAACTAAATACTTTAAGTTTTCTCTTCTTGATTCCACTCAGTAATAACGATATTATTACCAATACCAATACCATTACTACTACTAATAATAATAATAGTAACAGTAATTATAGTAATAGTGATAATAATAAGATCAGCTTTCCTTATTTTGTCAGTCATATGCTTTCAGCTGTTTTAAAAAAACAAAACTATCATCAAATATTCACATTAAATGCATAAAACAGAATTAGTATTAACAAAGAATATTACACTATTAATCTGTATGGGTAACCATACAAAATTACCTCATACAATTTGTTTAATACTATCAATAAATACCTTAGAAACATAGAAATGATCTCACGCATTGAATAGTCATTTGATTCATTTATATATAAGTCATTATCACAATGGATGGTATCATCTTATGCTTACATTAGGGTGTGTGTGTGTTTGTATGTATGTTCGTGTGATTAGATTGGATTGTATTTTCATTGTTCTAAGTGTTTACAATTAGTCTAGTCAAATGAATGAATAAATTTCTTATACTAATTTATTTTGTTGAGGATTAAGGAAGTGTTGATAAATAAATGATCTTGAGTTCTGTTAGAGTTATCATTTCCCGGATGCTCACACTGTGAAAGGGTTCTTCTGGAAGTCCCTGAAAAGGGAATTGGATAAGAAGTGATCTTGTTGAATTGAGAGCGTGACAACTGCTTGAGGTTGGTCACACACGACCTTTTTGTAAATAATTTTCGTGTTAGTTCTATACTTGTTGAGACCTTTTCACCGGAGACGGATATCCGTGAGATAAGGCGAGGTATGCATTTTTACAGTCGACCTTTTCTAACCCCATCCTTCCTTGTGGGAAAGCAGCATCGCTGTTATGCTGGTTTTCTGAAGGAAAAACCTTGCTGCCGTCACACCTCTGTATATTCAGCAGTACGACTTCATCTTCGGGCCTTGAGTTTGCTGCTTTTAGTCTTACGGCTCTTCAACCGACCTGTCTGGCATGCTAGTACCTTGAGGAATGGTTGTCTCAGCCAGTATAGCTTGATTAGTTCATCACGATAAGCATGCTCGACCACCATGTCAAGATAACAGCAATGGTCGTCAACTTGCACCAATGCATATATATGCCTGGTCCTACGTTGTAGCTGACTGACTGACTGTTGATAAATTACGATATATATAGTTACAAAAAAATAAGCCTACATACTCCATTCTGAGCTTA